CCCATAGACCAAAAGCTTGCATGTTAGGCTGCCTTCAGGCAAATCCCATTGAGTTCACTGATCTCAATGGGATTTGCCTGGTTAAATAAATAAACTACATTTTGACAAACTGGTGTTCAGCTTTTCAGCATTGTTTAAAATTCAGCTAGTTTCAAACTTGATGTTTTTATCATGTTCGTTTGCTTCGTGCATGCTGGTACGCCTGATTAGACGTGAATCAAACCACTTCATGTTATTTACAATGAGCATGGTTAAAATGGTTAATTTTAAAAGTAAGATTTTTTAAGATGGCACAATGTTTGCACAAGTAAGAAAACGTTCCTGGGTGGTCCGTGTCTGACATGAATTTTACGTTTATGGATCTTGCTGATGCTGTGAGCATAACCTACATAAATGACCAACTGATTATGTTTTAAAAACAGTTCATTCAATTTTTCACAAACCTTTTTACCCTCACATTCCTACACACACACATGCACTGACAGATGTGCACACATCAGCACCAGATATTAAGATGTTTTTATTGTTATTGGATGCTCTTGTCGACTGTGCAAACACTTCCCAGCCGAACTGCCAAATCAAACGAGATCCCACAATAACACTGCTACTTCCCAGTTAACAGCAAAAAATAAATAAAGCAAAATAAAATAAGATTTAGAAAGATTCAGAAGGAAGGACCCTGTATATTGAAAAATCTTTTGTACAGGTCACCTCATTATGTCAACTTTTTCCTATTTGCTTAATGATTACATCACATTTAATTAGTGTTATGGGAACTTGAAGAAGTATTTTTTATGCCTTAAAGCCTTTAAAACAAGTCACTCTGTGCTGTATGTGTGGGATTTCACAGTCATGAGTCATTTTGGTGTTTTTTTTTATGGCGGCTGACACAACTAACCCCTTTAAAGGGGTAGTTCAGATATTTTCATGTTAGGACTTTAAAAAAAGTTAAGAAAAATTAATATTTTACATGTTGTAGACACTTATTTTTTGAATGGCCTCAGTTTAGAGAAATAAAGTTTAATAATGACCGGCTTGATGGGCTAATGGTAAGAATGGTGCAAGAACAAACTGGATTACTGCTGGTTAGTTTTGTATAATGCTATTTAACCCTTACATTGCAATTGTTTTCCCATTTCCTTGTTATTTCCATATAATTCTATAGGTTTTTCGAATAGCAGAAGCAGAAGTTAGCTGTAGCTCTTCCTTTGTAGCCTGGAGCCCTTTCAGCAAAAATGTGCCAGTTTTTCTGCAGAATAAACATGAAATGTGAAATTGACATTAGTGCAGTGTGACAGTGATTAAATGGATTGCAACAGTCTTGCAGTGAAACTCACATCACGTCTGCCTTGTGCACTTATTTATTATCCTGCAGAAACAATGACAGTGTGTCTCTGGATTACTCACAAACTCAGAACAGGTTTCTTTGGATAAACCTTTCCCAGGAATTTTTGCTCAAATCCAAACTGACATAAATGTAACAGTAGACAGCTCAAAATGAAAATAAAAATAATAAGGCCATGTATTCCTACAATTATAGTCAAAATGCCTGCTCTTAAAAGTTAATCTTTATCATCGGACAAGCGTCAACTCTACCACGAAGAGCAGATACAATGAGGTGAGCCAGGCAGCTCCAAACACACCTCAGGAGGTCCTGTTCTCTGTCCACATGACACTTCATTCCTCCTCACCCCCAAATGGATGAGACAGGCTGTGAGACGTTTATCAGCTCCTGGCTTTTATTTCCAGATGAAGATTGCTTGTCCTTTTCAGCAGAGCGTGGCGGCCGATGCGAAGCAGCAGGTGTTTTGGGCTCTTCTTCGGGGAGCTGATGAACTCTCTTTGCTGAAGTAAAGCAGCTTTGAAACAACGCATTGTGCTGCTCAGAGCCTGCTCTAACCTCTGCAGCACACTTGCTGACCTGGGATCAACAAGGGAATCTTTTGTCATTAATAAAGGAAACTCAGACAGAAATAGTTTAGCAATTGAATTTAGTCTGTTCATACATTTTATTATAGATTCTGATTAGAGAAAATGTTCCATTTCCTGCCACAGTTAGATCCATTTGTCAAAGTTTAATTAAATTAATACATGCCCTTCCCAGACTGGAAGAGACTCTCCTAAGCTGCGCCACTGCAACGAAAACTCAGAAAATGTTTATTATTTGAAGAAAGAAGCTCTCTGTTGGTCATTTCTACTTCCTCAGATTCAATTGTTTCCCCCCCATTTTGGAAAATCCAGTTTTTGTTTCCTCTTCTCATTTTATCTTTTCTGTCCTTAACTATCAGACACCGTACAGAGGTACAAAATTTTTAATTCCTAAAATCCTGTGCCCAGCGCCTTACAGTTTTAATTTTACCTGTTGGTAACACTTTACAATAAGGCTCCCCTTATAGATGGCTAATAAATAGTTTGTTATTAATTCCTTTATAAACACTTTATAAATAATTAATAACTGCTTATTAAGCATCAATTAAGGGCGAGAAAGGGACAAAACTGAGCAGTTTCTTGCCAAATAGTGAACCGAATCTGCCACTTATATATTTCACCTAGAGATGTTATATTAAACATTTCAGACTAAGTTACTACCTTGTGAGTACAATCAACATTTGTAAACTTATTTCTTTAACATATAATATTGTACTTAATCACTGCATTATATGTACAATATTATATCCTAAAAAAATAGATTTACAAATGCTTATTGTGATTAGAAGGTAGTGACTTAGTCTGAAATGTTTAATATAACAACTCTAGATGAAATATATATAAGTGGCAGATTGGGCTCGCAATTTGGCAAGAAACTGATCAGTTTTGTCTCTCCGTCACCCTTAATTAATGCATAATAAGCAGTTATTAATGATTTATAAAGTGTTTATAGGGGAATTCATAATTTATCTATAAACTATTTATTAGCCATCTATAAGGGAAGCCTTATTGTAAAGTTGTACCTAATTGTTTAACCAGGAAACTCATAGATCTCTTTTGCAGGAGAGGCCCGGAGCTGAAGGCTGTTTAACATGCATGTTGTTGGACTGTAGGAGAAACCAGAGTACCCAGCAGGGGTAAACCCACACAAGGAGATAATGCAAACTCCACACCCCAGTCCAAACCGGGGACTGAGCCCAGAACATTCTGACAAAACAAAAGCATGGTCCCCTTCGTGACATTTGTCTGCGTTGATGTGGGCCATGAGATGATTGCAACAAATCAAGAGAAACATTTTGAACAGGAAGTGAAGTTTCTCTTTACTGTCACAACATACAGTTTGACACGTCGAAGTGTGTTTGGTGCAACAGAAACATGAACATTAATTTACAGCTGCATTATTAAATGTACATCATCTGATTAAACAGATGGATTATGAACAACCAGACATGTAAAACAACAACAACAAAAACAAGGCTCATAAACAACATTCACATGAGATTACAATCTAAACGAACAATTAAAGTGCATATTTAACATTTTAAAATACATTTATAAATGACAGACTTCAAGCAAATGTCAGCAGTTTAGCACACAATCAAGTTTCTACAGTTAGAAACAAAAAGCACAACAAGTTGGTGATAACAGAGGAGGAGATGACATGTGGGTGTGAAGCTCGTTTTAGGGGGAAAGGCTGGAACAGTGGTTTCAAATATTTAATACGAGGTCAACAAGAAAGTGTCAACTTACACAAGAGGAGAGTAAAAGATGGAATATAGCCATCAAATCACAGCAGAGAGTAGATTTAGTTAAAATATTCTGATTACATTATCATTGATACGTGACGTTTCTAACTTTGAAAACAACAAAATCAGAAAGCAACACTTTGCTTTTTCTAACTTTGAAATTTATATTTGTTTATTCATTATTGGATAATTTATTCAACCTTTCATTTTAACACATTTTCAACACATTTTCAAGAATATCAAACATTCTTTGCTACCAATATCTTACTAGTAAACTGTTCAATTTTGTGGTTTTTAATTATTTTTAACTAAAATAAATAAAATTTGAACACATTTATGTCTGAAAGATAAAAATTGTAGCAGTTTTCAATCGCTGGTTGGGTATTATTGCACGTACCAATCAGCTATTTTGAGAAAAATTTTGCTGTATGTGCTGTATAAATATTTTACTTCTGCTCCAGACCTATAGAGCTGCAGGATGAAAACACTTCATGCACCTCTCAGACGTCTTCAGTCATACGTCTCAGAACACTTGCCTGAAATAACAATCCCTCCAAAAACTGGGATGAAGCAGCAAAAACCTTCTCCTGGAGAAGAATTAATTACAATTTTCCACTATACAACCCAGTTTACAAGGTGTGCATTTTATTTCTACTCGACATATTTTTGAATAGCTCACTAACTTCTCAGTTTCTAAACTGTGGGGAATAATGATCAAGATTCCCAAAAGATAAAATGTCCCCACTGTTAAAGAAAATCCTTAATTTGTATGTTAAAATTACATTTTTGTAGCAAAAAAACCCCAACGAGTTTGTGTTCACTACATTAAAAAACGAATTTCTTGTTGCAGAACTAACACAAAGTTTATCCAAAAACTCTTTTACAAGACTTTGATTTAAATCACACAAGAATCACTCTCTGATGTTTATTTGCAGTAATGACCTTGTGACTCAGTTATTCCGATAATCATCTACTTTGCAGCAAAAGGCTTTTACAACGAGTGCACGCTGAAAATTAAATTAGAGAGGATATAATTTCCCAACAGTGTTTGTTGCAGAACATTTGTCTTGGACAAAAAGATAGAATCTGCTCATGCCGTCATCACTGACTTAGCTGCACTTTAAATTAAAATAAAAAGGGTCATTTTTAAGTTGCGACCCTTTTTTTTTTCCAAGAGTAACTCTTCCTCAGAGCAATTGAAGTAGACCTTTTAAGGCCAACATGTGTATCATACAAAAGCCAACAGTTTGCAATGGTCCAGGGAGGTTGGAGGAAACCCATCTGCAGGAAATTGCAATAGCAAACTTTTCCCAGAATCTGGAAGAGTCAGATGCATTTTTCCACTACTGTCTCTGCATTTAGTGTCACCTGAAGAGCTGCATCTTTGCGGCGTGGCAGCACTGAAAGATCCGTGATTATGTTTGCTCCTTCTTCAGTTTGAGTCTCACTCTCAGACGAATAAGAAACTTGGGAGTTTCGGACTGAAGATGGCTGTGAACCAGACAGTTTGTCTGACTTTGGGCAGCTTCCAGAGTAGGACTCACTTCCCTCCGGTGCACAAAGGAAGGACTGAGAGTTTTTTCTGACGTCTTGCAGTTCACGAGACACCAAAGAGTGGGAGTCCTGGTTAGAGATGCTTGAAGAGAGCTGGTAAGCATCTATGCAGTGAAAGTTCCCCTGTCTCTGAGGTCTTCTTGCTCCCACTTTACAAAACAGACACTTGACTTTCTCAATGAGCTTGAGGAGAACAGCCTTGCGGAGCAGGATGTAGATCCAGGGGTCAAGGATGGGGTTGAAGGAGGCAAAGCGTATCGCTCGGAGGTCGGGGTTTTTGTCCAGCCGCAGTTCAACTGGAGTTTTATAGAGCTGGTTCAAAAACACCTGGGCCTGCAAGAGAAAAGAGGAGTTGACAAAAATGTGACAGTTTTGGATGTGTGCATTTAAAAGTTACTGATAAGAATAATTTATTTATACGTAAATATAACCCTAATTCTGAAAAAGTTGAGGCATTGTGTAAAATGCAAATAAAAACAGAATGCAATGATATGAAAATCTCATAAACCCATATTTTACTCACAATGGGACATAGTAAACATAAATGTTTAAACTTTGACATTGTACCATTTTTAAGAAAAATTGTTTTAAATTTTCTGGCAACAACACATTTTACAAAGTTAGGACAGATCCAACAAAAGGCAGTAAAAGTAAGTGAACAAATAGGAAACAGCTGAAGGAGGATTTTGTAACTATTTATGTTAAATTGGCAACAGATCAGTAGATGACTGGATATTAAAACAACATTTTAGAAGTTAATCCCTCAGAAGATGGGAAGAGGTTCACCAGTCTGAAATATTTGTCTAAAAATGGTGAAACAATTTCAGAATAATGCTCTTAAATTGAAAATTGGGAAGACTTTGAATACCTCTTGATCTACCTCATAATATCAACAGAAGAATTCAATAATTTTGGAGCTCAAAGGACAAGACTGAAAGTCCACATTGGTGGATCTTAAGGCCGTCAGGTGGCACTGGAATAAAATCAGGTCCGATTCAGTTACAGACATCACTGCACTGGTTCAAGAACATTTCCACCATTCCCTGTCTGTAAACAGTTCATTCTGTCATCCACAAAAAAGTAATAACATAAAAACCCTTGTCTTCTCTGGGCCTAAGCTCGTTTAAAATGAACCGAGTCAAAGTGGAAAACTGTTCTGTAGTAACACAAATCAAATCAGATGTCTTGTCCTCTGTACTATAAAGGAGAGTGACCATCCTGCCCGTTCATTTAAAAGACCTTCCTCGCTGATGGTATTAGGGTGCATTAGTGCCCTGTGGTATGGGCAACTTACACATCATGACAGCAGCAACTGAAAATATTTGGAGCATCTTGAAACAAAAACACCTGAAGAAGAAAGGACTGTTGAATCCTACATTAGACAAGAATGGAACAACATGTTCAACGTAGCCTCACATGTCAAACCATTGTCTACTGGGATGTTTTTATTATTATTAATGTATCGTGTACATATTTTAGAATGTTTTTATTGGGCTAGCAAAGCTTTTATAAAGTTTTATGGCATTTTTAACTTGTGTTGTCTTGTATATGAGCCAGATGTCAAAGATAAGTCTCCATCATGGAATGTTACGGACAATAAAGTTATATTGATTGATTGATGTTGTTTAGAAATTGTTGTTAAAAGAGGAGGGGATGCTTCACAAAAGGTATACATGGCCCTGTCACAACTTTTTAGAGATATCTGACTTGTTTCAACTTTTAAACAAGGCACAATTTCTTAGTTTCAATATTTGTTGTGCTTTCATGATCCATTAAAAATAAAATATAGAGTTATGATATTTGCAAATCATTGCACTCAGCTTTGTTGGGTTTGCAGAAGGCTTGGACCCAAATGCAGACTCAAGACAAGGAGTTCTAAAAACTATTTTAATACAAAAAATTTAAAAAAAGAAATGCTGCTGTGGCAGCAAAATAATAAACTTAAAAAAAACTCGGGGGATCACAGGCATGTACAAAAAGACCAGAGAAAAAGAATCTTGTGGCCTGAAGCCAATAACACCAACCTGCTGAATGAAACAGAGACTGAATAAATAGAGCAGAGGTAAATGGAAAGTGTAGACACCTGGGTGATTACTAACAGGACAGGTATGAGACTGAAGAAATATTGAGGAGGCTGAGAGACGGTGAATGAGAAAAGACACTACCAAAAACACAACCCTAAAAATAAAGTACAAGAACACAGACGGGATAAGATCTTAACGTGAAGTAACATGAGAATGATTAGATAAACAAGAATATGAAGAAACATGATCTAAAACACAAATAACTAAAATATGACGTTTATCTTACACCACTAAAGGAGGTTGTCTGATTTATGATCTAATTTGGTAAAAGTTGTGCATAAGAGGCTTGATGAAGGTTATTGTCAAAGCAGGAATAAAGTAATGGAGCAGAAGCCTTTAATCCACTTGGATGGAAACATTTCAGCTTAACTAACTGGGTCTGCATGTGAGGCAAGTTTGAAAGCGCCGTGCGTAAAACGTGCGTAATGGTGACAGGCAGCCAACGAACTTACAACAAGTGGGATGGAGCAGAAGAGCACCACTGCCGACGTGCCTATAAGCAGAATGACCATCTGAATCTCTGCCCCGGCGAGTCGCCCGAAGCTGCGCCCTCTCCTCTGCGGGTCCACGTTGCGCGCCAGATCTGTTCCCAGCGACATCCTGCGCACGAAGCGCCGGTGCATCCGGATCAAAGCCACGCACACGAGCACGTTACAGATCACAGTGGCGAGGATGAGGAGGGAGCTGAAACCGGCGTACATGTAAGAGTAGGCGGCATCGCTGGTCCTGTTGCTCCTCCACTCCAAGAAACACCAGGTCTGCGGGTACTGCTTCTTCACCTGCCCAAAGCCGACGATGGGCAGAGCGCAGAAGAGCGCGTTGGAGATGTAGATGGCTATGAGAGTCAGTCCGGCCAGCTTCTGGTCCACATAGTCGTTGTAAAAGTAGGCATGGTTGATGGCGATGTACCTCTCCACCGACATGGCGCAGATGATACTGAGTCCCGCCAGAGAGAAGAACAGCATGGTGAAGCCGAAGTACTGGCACAGCGGGTCCCCTCCGGGCCACGACCCCTTCACGTAGGTGGCGATGGTGACCGGACTGGCCAGCAGGGTCCCCAGGAGGTCCGTGACAGCCAGCCCGCACACGAGCGTGTAAAAGGTGGTCTCCTTCTGTTCTCTGCGGGTTTTACAAAGAACCACGATGGCGATGACGTTCCCCACCACCCCGAATATAAACATGACAGACGGGATGGTCGGGACCATGGTCCTCCCAGTCATCGACTGGTTATTCATGGTGGAGTCCCAAAGGTGAAGCAGGCGGATAAAATATCCTTGTTAAGGCCGGTATTTCCAGTCGGGAGAGCCAAACATCATGGAACTAAAGAAGCTGCTTGCGCCTCAGAACATCTGATCAGCTTTAACACCCAGCCCCCCCGCAGCAGCGCGCGTTTCCTCATTAGGTTCTCAGCTGTGCACAACAGGCGTGTTTCAGTCATAGGACAGGAGGTAAATGATGAGCAACGTGTTCAATGAATCTCTGACTTCAAGCTTCCTGCAGAGTCCCGTCCCTCCCCCTGACCTGACTTCATTATGTTCCCTCATCAGCTGTGTGCTCCAAATAACACCATGGAACCAGGGTGGGGTCTGAGCAAGGTGAGGCTCTGGAAGCAGAGGAGTGTAAACTTTTGTTCAAGCTTTGTCTGGTCCAAATTAGAGCAGCTCTTTGTCAAATTAATGTAAGACAAACATGTTTACTAACTGTAAATTATATTCTATTGCTATTTAGAGTTTGAGTCCACATCTTAATTTCATGGTTAAGGTTTTGCTTTTCTTTCTGTATTCATGATATTTTAGTTTTTGTTTTCCTTTTGGAAATAACTTTAGCTCCATCCTTTTTGCTCTAACTGAATCTTTTTGAGAGAGTCATGATAAAAACAGTTTAAAATATCAGGACCAGTCTTAAATGTGTTTATTATTATTATTTTAATCATACACAGAGACAGTTGTATAAATTGGGATATGTAATTAACTATAAGGACCTCAAAGTTCATGCTCAATAATCCAGGTAAAGAAATCCAATAATCGTCAGTCAGGTCATCTGGATGGTTTCTTTTTTGTGGAAAGACGTTTCGCCCTCTATCCGGAGGGCTTCATCAGTCTGAGGAGTCCCAAACTGTTTTTCCCACCAAGCAGTATACTCCTTTAGTGAACCAACTAGTTTGCTGGTGATAAGATGGTTTCTGGGTGTTGTCCTGTCCCCTGTCTGATGAAGCCCTCCAGAGGGCAAAACGTCTTTCCACAAAAAAAAAAACTGTCCAGGTGACCTGACTGACCATTATTGGATTTCTTTATCAGGATGATTGAGCATGAACTTTGATGTCTTGAACTACTTTGGCTGTGGCTGCCTGCCTGGGAGGAGTCGACAGGGGAGCCCCCAGAAACCATCTTTTTACCAGCAAACTGGTTGGTCCATTAAAGGAGTGTGCTGCTTAGTGGGGAAACCAGTTTGGGACTCCTCAGACTGATGAAGCCCTCTGGATAGAGGGCGAAACGTCTTTCCACAAAAAATGAAACTCCAGATGACCTGACTGACCATTATTGAATAAATATAAGGACAATTACTTGTTCAGTTTATTTAATGTTCTCAATTTTTTGACAACTATTAAATATTAATGAAACATACAAACACATTATAGCAGGTGTACAATGAGCATTTTGTAGAATAATTTTTTAGCATCTGTAACTTCCAACATCTGGACAGATTTCTGTTGTCTTTCTTCTCTCGCCTTCTTAGATTAAACTTTATGACATTTGTTCCCTGTGGTCTGAAATGATCCTGTTGCACCTTAAGGTCAGCCTCTCTGCCCACACCTGTGTTCTCAAATGTTTCACCTGCGATCAAAAAGAATCAAATAAGTTCAAAGGTTCAGCTGAAGTGACTTTTTAAGTAAATATAAAGTCATCTTTGTTCCATGAGTAGAGTTAAAAAGATTTGAGATTAAGCTTCATATTAATGTGCTTTTCCTGGATTTGTTTGTCAGAGTCAGATAACCTGCAGATTTTTTGACCACTGGCTTGGCTACAAGAATTCATTTCCCAGTTTGCCACACCGGTAAAAGTGTGATCTAATCTGGGACTCTTGTGCTGATCAAACACTTCTTTTCATATAAATATATATTTATAAATCTGTCAGAGAAAATTGATTTAAAAACATCATCCTCTGAAAAACGAAGAATTTTCTTTTACAGTGAGCTGCATTCAAATTCATTCTTTTAAAGGAACTTCAGCAGGGGTCAAGGAAAATTGTTTTTATTTATCAACATCACCAACGTGTTCTGAAAAAAATGACTAATTGTTAACGCAAACAGAATCCTTTTTATTTTGAAATACCCATTTTATCTATTTATTTGACACCAAGTAGCTCTCCATGGCTTTAAGAGTCCTCTGACAGAAGTTCCTGTACAAAAAAGATCAGAAATGAAACGTAAAGTCAACTCAAAGGTCGAACTTGACGTGGGCAAATTAAGGCCCAAAGGTCAAAAGTGGCCCGTGGACATTTTCCATCAGGCCCCCAATATCCTTAGTTTAATTTAAAAAAAACAAAGCTTTTTAAATAAAGACTGATAAAAAAATATACATCAACTTATCAACGAGACTTAAGGTAATCTAAATTACACTTTTTTTTTTTTTAAAGTCATAGTGTTTCCACAACTAGACTGAACCTTAAAGACTTAGAAACACAAATGTATGAGTTTATTTTGCATATTACTGCTAACATGTATAACATGTGTATAACATATTGTCACAAGAGCCACTTTACAGAATATATCTCATATTCCCAAAGGATATTGGAAGGACATGTTTTATAAAGCATGCTAACTATGCTACAACAAGAACAAGCCTGAAAAATGTCTTCGAGATTGCTTGTCATAAAGAAAATTTATTTTCCAATTATTTATGCGGCCCTTTGATCGCTTTGAACATCTTGATTTGGCCTTTTGGAAAGAAAAAAAAAACTGCTGCCCACCTCTGTAGTGGGCTAACCTGTGGTTGAGCTCAGAGTTATCATCTGCTTTTATGTAAAACAGCAGACACACATCTTCACCTGGTCTTCACCCGGTCCACCACTTTAGGTTGAGAACTTTTTCAAACTCAGCGAACCTTGAATCAACAGCTCGATGCCCGTACACTAAACGGACGCTGCTCAGTTAAAAACACAGATCTTTGAGTTCTTGTCGCCTCTCTGAGACGGGAGCACAGAAAAAGGGAAATCCCTCTGTGATCAGGGGCGTTCCAAAAGAAAAGGATTAATGTTTTTCAAGAACGCTATTCACTGCTGGCTGTACATAACTAGCTTTAACATGCCCACCTTGTGAAAACCACGGTTGTTTCCTAACACCCTGTGCAAGCACATCCCATATAGGCTGCTTGTTTCTGTACGTGCACGTCGAGTTTCAGGCTTCACACCATGTGCTGTAAGAAGATTTGAGATTAAGCTTCATATGAATGTGCTTTTCCTGGATTTGTTTGTCCAAGTCAGATAACTTGCATATTTTTTGACCACTGGTTTGGCTAAAAGAATTCATTTCATGGTAAATAACTCGGGCGCAGTTATTGTAGACAAATGCACACTGGAATAGGTTGTTGTGTAATTACATTTGTTTGCTTTCTAGAAACTTCTTAGTTTAAAAAAAAAGCTAATGAAAATATATTTTTGGTCCAAATCTTTAATGCACTTGAACATAACATATGATGAAGGAAATTATTTGCAGGATTTTAGTATTTTTCTATCCTCTGTGTATTTCCAAATAGTGGAAAACACGTCTTTTTTTTAATTTATTCTTGTTTTTTCCCCATGTTTTGTGGTTCACTTTGGCACTTTGGACAAAACCCAATACCAGAGATGGGGGACATAGAAATGAAGCCTCAGGTGTGTGAGACTTTATTACAGTGCTCATTTTGCATTCCCTCACAGCCTCGCTTTTGTGTTTCCATCTGACGGCAGGTGATATCATATATTCAGGTTTGGCACGGGCTTTTTAGTTTTTAGTTGTTGTTTTTTTAAGTGTTTCTTTTGGAGTAACACGATCTCCGTGGACAGGTTCAGACATATTCAGCAGCCCACGGGAAGGGCTAAAGAAAAGTGCATTTATTTCAGGTTTAACTGCAGATCAGGAGCAGGGATGAACTGCGTACATATTTTATAACTGACAAACGGTGTTAGCACAATTTCTGTTCATGTCTGTCAAATAGTTGTTGCAAATAATCTTCTGGTAGATTTTACCTGAGTGTTTTGTTTACATTGAGCGTGGACCCACATTTTACATCTGCATTAACTGCACCATTAGTTCAGGAAAACCTGATTTTATGTTTGATTTCATGGTTTGCAACAGGACTCTCTGATGGACTCACTCCTTTTTCTTTTTAAAATATGTCCACATCTTTGTTCTTCCTTTGCAGCTTTTTTTTTTTTCCTTTTTGTGGCACTTTATCATTTTATAACCACTAATGTTGATAAAAAATACTGTTTTTTTCATTTGATTTTGTTAAATGTCTAATTTAATTTGATAGACATTATAATGTTTTGCTACGTTTTCTTAATTTCCCTCTCTGGTTTGTCTCTGGTGTAGTTAAAAAGCATAAATACATCGACTGTGCTCCTGTTCCAGACAACTTTTTTGGTCGATGAGCTCCTACTAACTGATTGTGTTTCCTTTTTTCCCACAACAACAGCTTCAACAATGAGCTTTGCACAGAAAGAGCCTAAACTTTTCAAACCGAGCCGTTTACAATAACTTGAAGTCGGCCAAACAAGCTTGTTTTTTCCCCCTAGCTTTTCTCAGAATGTGTCCTGCTGTTGTCCTTGAGGACCATTTGCATGTTTGTTTTTACATGTAAAGTTTAGAAAGAGTCCGGATGTGTTTATCCAGAGTTTGGGAAGATTTGTAGATAACATCCTAAATCAGCTTCTGTCATTACAACAAAGTGTTAGAGCAGAGGATCAGATGTAAACTGTTCCAAATGGCACAAATTTGCCAGCGAGACATGAACAAGTCTGTTTCTGGGGCGATAGTCACAGCTTTTGTCTTTTTATTTGAGAAAGTTGGTTCATGTCTGTCGTGGTGTGACTCGTCACAAAGCCTCTCCAACTTCAGCAGTCTAGGAAGTGTCTGTAAAAGTAATAAATAACTCTTATAAACTGGATCCCTCGGGAAAATAATACTGCTTCTCTGAAAAGTCCCGTATGAATGTTTCATCGATTGTCAAGATAATGCTGATAATTATTACCTGGAACAGGAACTGGAAGCTGCTAATGATTAAAACATTAAAAGACCATGTGGACCATTATCACAATAGGGGAGGAAAACAGGAAGATGTGTGGCTGAAAAGGCTTTAAGAAAAAAAAAAAAATCAACAAAATAGTGCAAACCTACAGCCAAGTGGGCAAAAACAAACAAACACAAGTAGTGTAACACAACATCTCATTCATACATTATTAACTGTGAATGTAACTGCTTAACTCACTGTACAGGTCCTTCTCAAAAAATTAGCATATTGTGATAAAGGTCATTATTTTCCATAATGTAATGATAAAAATGAAACTTTCATATATTTCAGATTCATTGCACACCAACTGAAATATTTCAGGTCTTTAATTGTTTTAATACTGATGATTATGGCATACAGCTCATGAAAACCCAAAATGCCTGTCCCAAAAAATTAGCATAT